GATATTGCAACAGTCAGGGTCACATGCTTTCCAGGAATCCAGGCTCTGTAATCTGAAACCCATTATGCTAATGAGGCATCCTACTTGCTGTACTGTGATAGGACACTAAACCTGTTATGCTAATAAGGTATCCTACTTGCTGTGCTGTGATTGGACCACTACCTCTATATAAGCTTGTGCCTTCCTGCAATAAATCAGACCTGTGTCACAGAACCGTCTCCTGTGTCTGAATGTGGCTCCGCTGACACAGTCTCTTCACCAGCAGAAGCGGCGACCACAGGAGGCAGCACAGGGCAAGCAGAAGAGCTGCCTTAGCACCAGGCAAGCAGAAAAACTGCCTCAGCACTGGGTGAGCAGAAGAGCGGCCTCAGTCCAGGGTGAGCAGAGGAGCAGCCGTGAGAATGAAGGAGCGACACCCATAAGAATGGAGGAGTGGCCGCCGCTGGCGGTGACCACAGGAGACCTTTGAATTGATTGGATAACTCTGAATTCCTTGTATGGGGGGGATTCATTGGTTATAGTCATGGTCAGCCACCTGGAATGTCTCAATTTTTCCTTTTACGGTAGGGTGCCCCTTTGGGCCTCTGGATGCCCTTTTATGGTCAGGAATTTCGGTTGGTTTCTGTTAGACTCAGATAAGCAAGGCATGTCTGAACTTGTCTAATCTTAGCCCGCAGTATGGGGCAAAGGAAACTTACAGTTTCTAGGAACAGAGACTTAAGGCTGACAAGATGGAGGCTGCTAAAAAATGGAGCCAGTGTGACCTGAATCCTTCAGTTTCACCTGTAACAGAGATGCTTCATTCTGTTGTTAAGAGGCATTTGCCATTCTGCTGTGCTCAGATGGGAGCCAAGAGATGATGCAGAAACAGCAGGGCATGAAACTCAGGAATGGTGCCGAAACAACAGGGGATAAAACTGTTGACCTTTTAGAAGGTATCAAAACAGTGGATCCAAACTATACCAGTCACTGCATTCTTCAGAGGGAGAGAAGGCTTGAGCCTGTTCATTCAATTCCCTCTTGCAGCGGTAAAATACCTATTAAATATTCTCTTTTGAATAGAGATTTTCCATACTCTGGGGGAAGAGCAGTATGTTAAAGCACAGGAACGTCTCACAACATCTCAATAGTATCTGTGCTACTGTTATTGTGAGCTAATTATCCACATTTTTAAAATTCCCTTTCTTTACCTGAAAGAATTGAGAAATGAACAATGGTAATCCAGACCAACTATATAATCTGACTATATCAGGCAGACTATCAGAAATGGCCAGAGAACCAGGCACAGTGGTGGGTACCTGTAGTTCCAGCCATACCAGAGAGAGGCTAAGGTTGAAGGACTACTTTGAGGTCAGGAGGTAGGGTTCAGGCTAGAAAACATCAAAACACTCTGTTTTTAAAAAAGAAGAGGAAAAGAGAGAGACAAATGAGACGTCAATAAAAAAAAAAAAAAAGATAGTATTTATTACCAATGGTATGGTTCAAGATTTCACTGTAAAATTTAAATTTCAGAATACTTGAATCCACTACCTTAAGACCTTGAGCTTTAGTAAAAAAACAGTGGTGATATTACTCAATATGTGTTTCAATGCATAATAGCATATGTCAAAATTTGAAAAACTCTATCATTCAGTAGACAAATATTTTCTACATGAGTAAGAAATATTATCAAAAATCATGGATGGTAAAAGGGTCATTCAAAGTACAACTGGACCAATGGATTATAGTGTAAAGTAAGATTAAAAGTATAAATTCCCATCAGGAATATGAAGCATTTTCATTGAGGAAGACAAAAGTGTTAAGAATTTAAATCATTTTGATCAGTTTTATTCAACAGGAAATAAACTTGAATTTAAATTAGCACCTCCACACAAAGCCTGAGAAAAAGCCTGCAAGGGTGACTCTCTGAAGTGAAGTATGTACACAAACTACTCCAAATTACTCTAAATTATTAGGTTATAGTAACCTAATATTCTAGAAAAAAAAATGGTTGCCAAAAGATTTGCTAGTAAAAGGTTTTTGTGTTGGAAACATAAGGTCCACACAGAGAACAACAGCACAGCAGGGTTCCCTATCCACCAACCCGCTCCCCATGAGCATGAGTTATCCCTGGAAAGCCACTCACACCACTAGCTCCTAAAGCTGGTGCACTCAATTCAGAGTCCGCAGCGTCACCTTTTACTAAACCATTCCCAAACTATCACGCTTGGCAACTCAGACTCTGTCTGAACACATCTAGCGTGTATTTAAAGGGTCCCAGATGACCTTGAAGCTACCCTGGAATGCTGCTAATTATTGTCACATATAAGTAACATCCCCAAAACCACTGACTAAAAGGCAGCTAACTTAAGAGCTAACAGCTCCAGCTTAGGCAAAAACATCTTTGGGCTCTGCCATTTACTAACAAGATGATCTCTTCTGCATCAACTTCTTTTGTAAAAGGCAGAAAACAGGACTGGAGAGATGGCTCAGCAGTTAAGAACATTGGCTGCTCTTGCAGAGGACCCAGGTTCAGTTCCCAACACCCACACAATGGCTAACAACCATCCAGTTCTTACAAAGATCCAGTTCCAGGGGCTCTAACGCCCTCTTCTGGCCTCTGTGGGGACTGCATGTATGTGGTGCATGTAAAACACTCATATACATAAAATTCAAAAATAAAAAATTTTTAAGGCAGAAAACACAAAAGTCATGTGGGAGAAATTTGTGGAAATTGAGATACTGGGTGTGAGCTCCTGCACAATCCCTGCCAAGATTAACAATAAAAATGTGCTGGTACACTAGAAGAGGTAAAATTCTGAATGGGAGATTCTGGCAGAGGCTGTGATTAAAATCAGTGTCTTGCATGGTTAAGCTCCTGGATTCAGGAGAAGACATCTAATAGGCAATTTGGCAGGATCTGGCATTTCCGGAGAAACAGCTGGGCTTGAGGATAGTACCTATTTTGGAAGCTACACAATCCTTTCAGGCTCCTAGCCGGAGGCACAGGGAGTCAAGACTGGCCATAGCCGAGATGGAGATGACAACTTTATAACAATAATCATTACCATTAAATTTAAATCATTACATTAAAATTGAAATCAAAGCATTAAATCAAGTTAAATTTTCTTGTTTTGACTTCATGGTCATCCTGAAACCTGTATGTAAGTTTCCTTTTCATGAAAATTTTCTCCCATGAATGACTGACTCAATCATCTCATTCTAAGGTACACACACACACACACACACACACACACACCACACATTAAGGATTGAATGTAGGGACCTTGTAATCTAACAAGTAATCTAATACTGAGCTACAGTCCCCAAGACAATTGATTTTTTACAACTTAAGTTCTTCAGAGACTTCAACCCTAGGCTTCTAAAGCTACTGTCTGTAGTGATTAACTTATATCTGCATTTAAAATGAGATTGAGGACACATTATCCTCCAGAGGATGGAGAACATACCCACCTTGGGAAGACTCAGAAAAACCCTCACTAGGAAAGGATTACTTTTCCATATGTTTGATTTTCTCTAGAGCCAAATGACAAAGTCTGCCTGAATAATACTCTTGCTTAAAAGTTGTCTGTGACCTCCTAACAAGAGACTGTTCAGTGGCCTCTAGGTCTAATGATAAGATACGGTTCCTGGACTTGGACTTCACAAACATTTTTGCTTATCTTGTCACATGTTCTACCTGTGACACATGTGACAGGCCTAGGCCCTCAACAGTATGTTTAAAGAGGTAATTTATCTCCTTTCAAAAAATTTATACTGAAAAAGCAACATGTAACTTAACAATAGTCCTAGATTTATATTATATGATATATTATAAATATACACTTAATATATTAAACAGAAATATTAAATTCTACAGTGAGCCTTTAGAGGCTCTTTCCTCTGCTGACTTCCATTCTTGGGAGTGCCTTTTTATTTCTTAATAAAGCTGTCAACTTCTATTCCAAGTCTAACTTAAAAGATATGACTTTTTCTCCAGCTCTCTTTCTGGTGACTACTGGGATTCTCACCTAATCTGTGCTGTGTTTTTCTTCTAAACCCTAATAAAATGGTCCTCAAGTTTCAAATAAATAAATTCTATATTAATACTATAAAAATCTTCTAAAACCTAAACCAAAGGAATTTCATTCTTAGAGTTTAGATCAGGAGAAAAGGTGTAAGTTAGAACCAAAACTTCTAAATTAAAATCCAATGAACCTCTTGAAAAAAATTATTCCATTAAGGCCAGTGAGATGGCCCAGTGGGTAAAGGTACTTGGCACCACACCTGATGATCTGAATTCAATTCCCAGGATTCACCTGGTAGAAAAAAAGAACCAACTTCTCCCTTGACCGCACATCATAGCACTCGAGCTCCCCAACAACAAATAAATAAATGTAATAAAATTTTTATTAATTAGCCCATCAGAAATTTCTGTGTATTTTTTCAGTTTCTGATATAATAATCAACATTTGATTTACTGATATAGAAAAATCACACCCCTTTCCTAGTTATTTTATAGTTTATAAAAACCTGAATTTGATGATTATTCAAAAGAAGGGAAGCATTTAGATGGCTATTTAAAGATTTTGCAATCGAACACTGGGAAGACAAGGGAGAGTGATAAAGGGAGGAACCAAAAAAATATGACTCCTGACAGCTGTGCAGAGGACAGCAAAGCTGATGGTGGAAATCCCCCAGGGTGAACCCTACTACTGCCAATATTTAGAAAAGAAATTCTAGAAAACTGAAATATTAAATCAAGAGAACAAGTGTGGGAAATTTAAATGGTAACAAGATATGCAATTTAAAGCGACTTGATTGAAAGTGTTTACAAGTAAAACAAAATGACACAAGTATATTAAAACAACTTTACAATACTGAGAACAAACGCATATTATTTATTCCTAGTATTTAAAACTATAATCTCATATGTGATATGAAAACTAAAAGTTTACATGTTATTTTATCCTAAAGCTGGTTAGAGGTCCAAATGGAAACAAAAACTGAACAGTACTTACTATAGTAACCATACAGAACAGTGTCTTCAATCTGTCTGCTGACATTAGCATTAGCCCAGTCCTAAGATAAAAAGGAAAGAATAAAAGTGTTAGTTTAACATTCATTTGCCTAAGAAGCACAGCTTTGATTCACATCACTGCACATCATTTCTGGAATCTGTCATTAGCTCAAATAAAATACAGTCTCTACAAGAAACGAGAAACAGAGAAGTAAACAAATACATTTAATACATAAAGGCTGAGATGTAAAACACAGTTCTGGGGAAACACTAAGACAAATGGCAACTCACTCATACAGATGATCAGAAGGAACTTTTTAAAACTGTCCTAAAATGTGGACTCAAGGAAGAAAGGATAGTCTTGGGTGGGGGTGGGGAGAAAGAAAATAGTAAGGAAGGGAGAGACAGGGGAAGCTTAAAGAAGACTGCAAGAAGCAAAGTGCACATTTACTGGGGCTCTTTGAAAGTGAGAGGCAGTGAGAGGAAGGAAGGGATGGAGGGAGGGAGGGAGTTTACAGAGTTTGAAAACACTGGGAAAAACCACCAGGCTCAATTCAAATTTTAATTGGTCAAATTTATTAGGGCTACAGCCCTCTGTGGTCCCTTAGTCAGATTTAGGACACAGGTCCCCGAGAGGTAGGGGGAAATTAGCTTTTAAAGGCAAAAACCACAAATACCATAGAAATTTCATCACACATGAGTAATGTCAGGTGGTCCTGAATATGGTCAGGACGCCCAGGTTAGCAGATAAGCAAACTACAGAAGCCAAAGAAAACCTGTGTTAGTTCTTCTCTTAATGAGGTATAGAGACCTTGGCAGTAAGGCATGTTCTGATTAAATACTGCTACTTTGTCTAGAAAACACTCTTCTAAGGGGAAAGAACTAAGTTCAGGCACTTAACCTTGAAGCTGGCTATTAGTCTAGCTTTTGAAGTTTAAAGTGGCTTCTTTATACAAAATGAAGGTACTTTGGCTATTACAATTTAGGGGGCTTTATTTGGGGCCATAGTAGAAGGAGGGAGGGAGGGCGGGCAGGGTATGTCAGATAGGCTTGCCAGAGTAAGCATTTTGTATTTTATCCTAAGAGTAATAGAAAATAGTGATGACATCTATGCAGAAATTGATAAATCTGGTTTGTATTTTAGGAAGATTAGGCACTGCAAATGATTAGTCTCCACTGTCAACTTGGCTGGAACTAGAACTGGGGTCTGGAATGACAGGAGCTTGGTAAACAATGGCTGTGAAGGCATTTCCAGAGAGAATTAACTGCAGGAATGAGACCCATCTTAGAAGTGGGCAGCACCATCCCTGGGCTGGACTAGAAACAGAAGGGGAAAAAAAGCAAGCTTGCAATCTACCATCTCTGACTCCTGATCAGGAGTAGACAGCTCTCCTCTGCTGCACAGTCCACTGCTATGATGTTCTGCCCAAGTGCATGGGCCAAGTGACCCATGCCTTTCCTCCCTTAAATGATTCTGTCATGAATTTTGTCACAGTGACACAAAATTAATGAATACAAGTAGACTATACATTTTTTATTTTATTTTATGTGTATGTGTGTATTGCCTGCATGTAGATAAGCGCACCCGAGCCTGTCAGATCCCCTGGAACTGGAGTTATGGATAGTTGTGGTCCTGGGATTCAAACTTGGGTCTTCTGCAAGAACAGCCAGTGTTCTTAACCGCTAAGCCATCTCTCCAGCCCCTAGACTATACATTTTTTTAAGTAACCCCTCAAAAGGCTAATTGAAACTTCTTCATATTCATCCTAACAAGTGTCATTTAAATTGGTAAATTAGAAAATGTAATTCAAATTAATCTTTTCTGTGTAGCAATTTCCTCCTAGATAAAATCTCTGTCTTGGTAAGGAAGCTGAGTAAGCAACAAGATGTTTTAGGAGAGGTGAACAGTAGAGCAGGGAAACTTGTAAAGCTCAGGAAGTGAACAACTCAGTAGTATTAGGAACCTGAAACTGACCAGGTTCACTAAGCCCCTCCCTGGGAAGGCATATATAAGCCCTACGAAGAGTTGATGCTCTCAGACTAGCCAAGATGCCTAGAAGAAACAGAGACCAACTGAACTGCTTGGAAGAGGTTCAAACCAACTGAGCTGTCTGGAAAGGGTGATCTCCACCTTGCTGAGCTGCCTGCAAGTAGTGCAGTGCCCTCCAGGCTTCCTGCTTTCATGAGCTGTCACCTATGCTAGGGTGGATTTTGGTTATAACAGCTGTCTTTGAGTCATTTCTGCTCTTAGAAGTAACTCCTCACTCATAACCCTGCAAGTAACCCCAATATAACTCAAGTGGTTCACCAAGTTGGAATATGCTGGTATCCTTACTTTGGTCTATTGTTAGTTCTAAACCTGGGGTGAGAGGACATTTGCTCCCATCTCCCCATGAACAGCCTCACACAACAATCTTCTGAACAGAAGAAAATCTATATACTGCAGAGCCAGAACTGTAAGACTTCTTGTCTGTGCATGTGAAAATTAACCTGCAGAAACTATGGTCACTATTATTAAGTTGTAAAGCTCACACCAGAATCCAGAGTCATCTGAAAGTGAGTTTTTTAAGAGCTCAAGTCAATGTCCCATTGAAAGTGCTCTTAAGAGTATCAACAGTTAATTCCCTTAAAATAAGATATTTATTTTTAGTGAGCATCCATTATTTCTTGCTGATAAACACCTAAATGAACAAAAATGTAGAAAACCAGTATTTCTATAAATGGAAAACCTTGACATACAATGCACAACAGAAATAGCATCCTTCCAATAGCTACAAAAAACATTAAAAACAAAGCAAAACACTTAAAAGCAGTGAAATAGCTGGAGAGATGGCTCAACTGCTTGCTGCTCTTGCAGAGGGTCAGTTCAGTTCCAGTCACATATATGGCAGCTCACAACCACCTATAACTCAGTTCCAGATGTCATGCTCTCTTCTGGCAACTGATGGCACCTGCCAGACATGTGTACACTCATAGCCCCACATGTAAATTAAAAATCTTTTTTATAAGACTAAGCCAAATAAAAAAATTGCAGAGGGAAAACCAACTTACACAATACAAATGCTGTAAACAAGTGAAAATTCACCTGTTAGCACATGGAAAGATAAATATCAATTCCCCCCACGTTAATCTATAAAAACCAACATATATAGTCAAACAAAATCCTGATGAAGTGAGCTTAAGTACGGTGGTGCTTCCCCATAGTCAAAGCTTGTCAAGAAGCTGGAGTAGGAGGACTGCCCAAGCCTAGAAGTTCAGAGCTAAGCTGAGTAACACAGCAAGAGTCCATCTACTAGAAAACATCCCAATATGCAAAAGGAAGTATGGGTTCTGAAAGTTATTTGACAAAACAGGCAAGTGACAAGAAAAATATTGAAACAGATCAACAATAATGAATTTCCCAGTTACTATGCCGATAAAATACCAAAATATTAATATAGGAGACTTTCTCTGACCTATTTCTTACAATATAGAACACTGATAATACCTAGCAGTTCAAAATGTGGAGGGAAAACCATGTTCTATAGATTAATAGTAAGGCTGTTTAGTGTCTAAATATTCTGTGCTAAAACTAATACAAAAATACTCAGACAAATTAAGATAAATATCAGTATGTATATTTCTTTAAAGTAGTATCCAATGAATGACTTTAGGACTCTTGCTGAGTTACTTGGCAACCAAGCAGCCCAAACTGGGCCTCCCTTACCCACCCAGAAGGAGCTGCACAATTTCAATTATCCTTTGGACCAAGGAACCAGTCTTCAGATGTTCAGCAATGAAAATGTCCTAGCACCTCATGAACAGTCTGTACCTCCTCAGCTCAGACTACTTGACATCTAGCCCAGAGCTTATCTACCAGCAAGACCACTTTCCTGCCTGCCCTACAGGAAGGCAGGAGAAAGAAGGTTGAGTTATGGATGAACCTGAGCACTCGCTATAAATACCAGCCTGCACCAATGATTTTGACTAAGAGCTCTTTACCCTAAAATACTCAGTATACTATGTTTAAAATATTTTTAAGATGAAAAAACGGAACTGGAGACAATGTCCATGATAACACATAATATTGCATATTCAAAACACAGAATACCACGTAGACATTGAAAACTGATATATTGTTTTTTAAAAATAACAAATTTATCTGTGGAATACTTTTGAGTAGGAGAAACAGAACAAGTTGCAAACAAGAGCTTTAATGTGTGCAACTTTTACCTTTAAAAGTACAATGAAAGGCAACATCCAAAGAGAAACAGAAAAAATTAAGAAAATGCAAACGTTGCTACCTGCAATGACAAAGCACTGACAAGGATTCTATGCAAAAAGGAGAATGCTTTTATATTAATAACTTAAATTCCAAGCCAGTTATGTACATACTAAGTTTCTGTTCCTCCGAGTTGTGCTTCTGAAGTGACTGCTTATGCATAAAAACAAAGGAATAAAAGGAATTTTGATGAAGATGATCAAACTAAGTACAATCTATCAGTCGACTAGAGGATAATTATATTTCTCTCTTTGTATTTGTTAGACAATATATAAAGTCCCCGTAAGTTTCCAAGACAGCCCCAGAGGGTAGTAATGTCCTCATGGAAAACCACTTAAAAGTTAAAACTTGGAAACTGCACAAGAGCCCAATCCCAGAAAATAAATTAGAAGTTAAAAGTATAAAGGTAATTTAAAGCCAAATAATTATTCAAATTTAACACCTCTAATTTACAAGGTTCTTTTGTCTAGCCAGTTCTTAAGGCAACAGACTAGTAAAACTGTTATCATTTTAAAGCTGCAAATATGTGTAACATATACAGCACTGCTGAAGCACCATTAGTGTATGTGACTTTTATCTACTGTCTTGCCTCCAAAGTATTTGATGTACTGTCAGGAGAACTTACTTTTTGAATCTTTCTTCTAGAACATTTTGAGAACTGCTATGCCCTTGATATGTTTTATAAACTGTTGCTTCCCAAATTAGAAACTAAAGGAAACTTCAGTTATTTAAAACCCAAAGGAATGTGAGACAATCAAAAACTAGTACTAGAGACTAATACAGTAGAACAGTTCAAAAAAA